TTCCTCTGTTTTTCCTCTCTGTAACTCTGCCTTTCAAATGAAAATAAGTCTTTTTTTAAAATAAAAACCAGAAAAATAAAAGAATTTTTAATGAAAGACAGAAACAAGCATTCTACAATTTGGGCTTCCACTTGAAAAAATACTGTGGCTTGATTAAATCCAACTTTTTTAATAGCTATGCAAACTAGCTTATTTTTAAATTGAGGCTTTCCATTCCTTCCCTAACTGTACATAATATAAACAGCTACAAGAGTACCTATCATGTCACTTAACTTTATCCATAGCTGTAACTGGATCTGATCAATTGGAGATGGGACTCATAATTGTTTGGGTTTTTTTTAAACATTTATTTATTTTTATTTAAAGGCATATTGACAGAGAGATGGAGGGACAGAGAGAGAGACCTCCCATCCACTGGTTCACTTCCCAAATGGCTACAATGGCCGCAGCTGAGCCGATCTGAAGCCAGAGACCTGGGGCTTCTTCTGCATTTCCCACCTGGGTAGAGAGTCTCAAGAACTTGAACTTGAACTATTTTCCACTCTTTCTCAAGCCATAATCAAAGAGCTGGATCAGAAGTGGAGCAGTCTGGACACAAACAGCACCACAGAGTCTGCCTATATTTCAATGCTAATATGTAACAGAAAGCATCAACACAAACCACTAAGAAGCTGGTAGTTGAAACAACTGTTTCTAAACATTAAGATCTGCTCTCCCAGATATGTGTTTAATCACTCACATTAACATCACAGCCTATCTGTGCAAAGTACACAAGGAAGAAAAGCAGACACTGCGCTCTAGTGCTTCATTACCCCAGAGGGAATGCAAATTCATTTGACGGCTATTTATCAAGCATCTGCCATAATATGGAGTACTCTGCTTGGTCCAAACACCTTGCCTATAAAAGAGCTCCCAAGATAAATTTTGCACACTTCACAAGTGACAGGGGACTAATATCCAGGATTTAAAAACAGCTTCAGAAAACCAGGCACAGCAAAAACAAAACAAAACAAAAAACCTTGTAACAAAATGGGCAAGTGAAATGAACAGTCATTTTTCAAAAGAACAGATTCAAGTGGCTAATAGACATATGGAAAGATGCTCAAGCTCCCTAGCCATCAGGAAGATACAAATGAAAACCACGTTGAGGTACTACCTAACACCCATCAGATTGCCCTACATTCAAAACTCTACTAACAACACCTGCTGGCGTGGACGTGGGGAGAAAGGCACACTCCTTCACTGGGAGTGTAGGCTGGTATAACCATTGAGGAAATCAGTATGGAGAGTACTTAAAGAACTGCAAATAAATCTGCCATATGATCCAGCTATTCCACTCCTAGGAATATACCCAAAAGAAATGAAATCTGCATATGAGAAGGGGATCTGCAATCCTATATTTACAGCAGCACAATCTACAATAGCAAAGACATGGAAACAATCCAGATGTGTGTCCAAGGAAGAGTGGTTAAAGAAACTGTGGTACATCTACTCCATGGAATATTATTCAGCTATTAAGAAGAATGAAATGATACTATTTACAACTAGGTGGTCCCAACTGGAGACCATTATGCTCAGTGAAATGAGTCAATCACAAAAGAACAAATACCATATGTTCTCTCTTATATAAGGAAACCAACATGCAACGTGTAACTTCAATAATCCATTCCATACTGGTTTTGTTTTGTTTTGGCTGCATCCCATGTGTTTTGATGTTTTTGATTTCAGTTTAATTTATTCCAAATACTCTCTTTTATCTTGTCGAATTCATTGCTAGCTCATGGACTATACGGTGGTATCATTTTTTCCAAGAGACTTTTGTATCTCCTTCTTGTCACCCATGTGTTGGTTACTCAGTGGCATGTTTTTCATGGAGGTGTAATTTGTTGTTGGTGTCATTGTTGAGGCTGTTGTTCTAATTCATACCAGTTGTTGACCTTGTTTCATGGCTTCTCAGTTATGGAAATATATAATGATGGAGTGTGGGGCTCAGGGGCAAAGAGGTCACAACAAGATGGCAACTAATAGTCAAGGTGACTGGGTTACCCCTGGTGAGCAAGATGGCAGCCAAGGACAGAGCCCTGAGCATGAACCAGGGCAGGGGTTAATTCGTTTCAAAGAAAGACCTGGCCTATAGGAGGTGGCTTCTGCAGTCATGCTCCAAGTAACTGGCTCCTAGTTTTTCCCCTCCTGGAATTCCTGAAACTCCGGCCTGAGGCTATCCCTTACCCTATATAAGAATCTGTACTTCCCAAATAAATCGGAACTGCTGGACAGGAAAAAAAAAAAAGAGCTCCCAAGTTAAGAACTACTAGTATGTCATGAAAATGGCCCCCTTCTATAGGCTAACGATGCCAAGCATTTCAATTTTGTGTCCCATGGTTACCATCTACCTCTATTACCCATTAACAAATACCAGAATTAAAAAAAAAAAAACATAGAAAAGTATTTACTCTGTTCATGGCAAAATAAAATTATATAATTACATTGTTGAATAATCAATTTATTTAAGTAAGGCATAATTTTCTGGCATCTAAGTCTTCATATCGAAAATGTTCACTAGTTCTTTTTAGGTAAAAAAAATTCTTTGAGTTATCAAAGAATTACAGAATAAACAAACCTGCTAACATGTGAAATGACTATAGAAAATTTCAGGATAGGGTTTACTTAGTTAGAAACATATAATTTATTAAAGTTTCTATCTAAAAATGGTTTTGGATAAGGAAAACCACTGGATATTTTTGGATATTATTGGATAAGAGAAATTTTTTTAAATTTTCATATTTAAAAAATTTGACTACTAAACTACTATTATTAGCAACTGCTCAGCCATCTTAATTCTATCTGCTCTCTGGATACCGAGCTAAAGTATAAACAAAAACAACAGTTCCTTAGGAGAGCTTTCTTTCCTATAAGAGATGATACTATCTGACAGTATTGTATATTTAAAAGTAAGAGTTTCCTAGCTCCTGAACTAGGTCTTTCATGTATGAACCAACAATATTTACACTAAAATAAGATTTTCTTTTTGGCAAGGTTTCATAGTAATGTATACTAGTTCACAATAGGTAGTGACAGAGAGAAAACTAACTTTATTAAAAAAAAAATCAAAGGCTGACTTAGAGATCATTCAATCTCTTCATTTTCCTCTACCCGCACCAGCTCATCTTCCTCACACATCCTTCTCTATGGATGCCATCAGCTTTTGGGCCTGCTCCCAATCCACTGACGTCCTAGGATATTTAGTGCCACGGCTTAAAGCCCCAGCAGCACACCTGACAGCCTTACACCTCCAGACCCAACAGCCTTCCTATACCCAGGACTTATTTACTCTACTGTTTACTCTATCCTTGCGGATGCAGAGAAGCATTTCAACACAGAACAAGAGCAGAACTCTTGTTTACAGACCCACTCCAAACTTCCGCCTTCCCTGTTTACCTAGGCATGCCACACGCTGCTCACAGCCAAGTCTCTACACAATCTAGCTCTTGCCTATGGCTCTGTCCTCTCCTGTACTCTCTGCCTGGCTCTTATCTGACTCGGTCACATGCCAGCCTGATAGTCACTTAAACATGCCAATCACTACTACTGCATAATCATTTTGCTTGTGTATCCTATAATCATTCCCCTGATTCGCCTCCAAAATTCTCTATTCCCTCACCCTGCATTATTTGTCTTCATAGCACAGATCATTAGCTAACAGCACATTAGTGCTTATTTTTATTTACTGAATGGTCTGCTTGTTCTCCACTGTATTCTCAACTAAAGGCAACACAGTTGACACACAGCAAGCACTCAACAGTATCTACTGGACCAATGAATCCATGATCTAGCAACACCTTAACAAAATGCATTACGAAAGTTCAAAACACCTGACATTCTTAGTTTAGAAATATTAATGTGGCCTATATTTTAAATTTTAAATCTTAAGTTATTCATATATTTCTTCCATTTCATTAACTTAAATGCTAATTTAATCTGTATTTAAAATAGTAAAGTGAAGAGCTGTATTTACCGTATTACCAAATGAAGAAAAAAGAAATACTAAAAAAAGATTTAAAAACATAAACATTAATATACACTCTTAAAACCACAATCATGAATTCAAACTACTTATAGCTGCTAAATATAGAAAGTTGAGTGAGTGCTTAGCGTGAGGACCGAGACACTCTTGTCCCGCAAGGCTCAGGTTCCAGCTCTGGCTGCTCCAGCTGTCTGCTCATGGAGGTGGGAGCGACGGCTCCCATAACTGAGTTCATGATGCTCATGCAGGAGATCTGGACCTGGATGGCATTCCCAGCTCCTGGCTTGGCCCATAGCCCATACCCAGCTTCTGCAAGCATTGGGGAGTTAGCACATCAGAGATTTTCTTTCCCTCGCTCGCTGTCTTTCTCGCTCTCTGTCTCCTCTCTCTCTCACACACACCAGTTTCTTTGCCTCAAAAATTAAAAAGAGCAATTTTCACGGTTCTTTTATTTTGTGACAATATCTGTTTGTTCCATTAAGTTAAGACAATATGCCGGCCAGACACAACGGCTCAGTGGTTAAAGTCCTCGCCTCATACGCACTGGGATCCCATATGGATGCCAGCTCGTGTCCCAGCTGCTCCATGTCTCATCCAGTTCCCTGCTTGCCGTCTGGGAAAGCAGTGCAGGATGGCCAAAGCTTTGAGAGCCTGCACCCGTGCAGGCGACCCAGAAGAGGTCCCTGGCTCCAGATTGGCTCAGTTTTGGCCATGGTGACCACTTGGGGAGTGAACCAGCGACAGAAGATTTGTTTCTCTTTATCTCCTCCTCTGTAAATCTACCTTTCCAATAAAAATAAATCTTAAAAAAAGGAAAATATGATAATTTTATTAATTCATGTTTTGCATAAATTAAGAACCTTATTTTAAAGTTAGTATATTAACAAATGAAAAACAAAAACTAAGTTGTGAACATTTTATAGTGTTAACAAGTTTCATGGAAACCTGTCATGGAAAATTATAAAAATATACTTACGTTTTTCATCAGCTTTATCTTTTATTGCTATGGTGTCGTTACTCAGAGACACAGTCTGTGCATTAAGAATATCTGTTCTCATTCCAGGAAATTTTGGAGAAGAAATGAAGCGCCCTTCATAAGAATATAAATAGATACCACCACCATCTACAAGCAGAAAATGTCTAAAACACAAAAAGATAATTCTCAAACACTATATTTTTCTTTTATATATTAGAAAAACAGTTTATCATTTGGAAATGTTTAGATCCCACAAATTAAATAAGTACACAGGAACACTGAAAAACATATAGTTTTTTTCAAAATTTAAAGTCAACATTGGCTGTTTTGGCTTTTCCCAGGGCTTCTGCCCATCAAAGATCATAACATCGTCCATAACCACCACCCTATTACTATAATTTTGAGTTCATAGACATTACACCCACAATAAGTTTCCTTTTCTTAGAAGGAACTTCTATACAAACGCAATCAGAAAATCTTATCATTTACAATTCAGTGACTTTGATTCCAGATGCTGTCTCATTACAAGTACTGATAGGGCTTGATATGGTAGCCTAGCAGCTAAAGACCTCACATTGAACACACCAGGATCCCATCTGGGCTCCAGTTCTAATTCTGTTAGCCCCACTTCCCATCCAGCTCCCTGCTTGTGGCCTGGGAAAGCAATCGAGGATGGCCCAAAGCTTTGGGACCCTGCACCCACATGGGGGACCTGGAAGAAGCTCCTGGCTCCTGGCTTTGGATCAGCTCAGCTCCAGTCATTGCAGCCGCTTGGGGAGTGACTCAATGGATGGAAGATTTCCTCTCTGTTTCTCCTCCTCTCTGTATATCTAACTTTGTAATGAAAATAAAATAAATCTTTAAAAAAAAAAAACTTGACACATCTTAAAAAAAAAAGTACTAGTAAATACTTTAAAAGATTATGCTAAAGATAATTAAAGGTTAAATGTTTATAAAAGTGAAAAAACAATCAAAAATCAACATTATGTCCAGTAATTTATCAAAATGAGATGCATCTGGCTTTAAAATTATGTAGGGATGTACATTATGTATTTCTAATTTAAAATCTGTATTTTTTCTGCAGCATGGACTCAAGTTTATTTATTTATTTATTTTTTTTTTTTTAAAGATTTATTTTTATTATTTTTTCATTGGAAAGGCGGATATACAGAGAGAGGAGAGACAGAGAGGAAGATCTTCCGTCCGATGATTCACTCCCCAAGTGAGCGCAACGGCCGATACTATGCCGATCCGAAGCCAGGAGCCTCTTCCGGGTCTCCCACGCGGGTGCAGGGTCCCAAAGCTTTGGGCCGTCCTCGACTGCTTTCCCGGGCCACAGGCAGGGAGCTGGAAGGGAAGCGGGGCTGCCGGGATTAGAACCGGCGCCCATATGGGATCCCGGGCGTGCTAGGCGAGGACCTTTAACCACTTGCGCCACCGCGCCGGGCCCAAGTTTATTTATTAACAGTTTTATTGAAGGCATAGGGTTCTGTGTAGTTATTTTTACCAATTAAATAAGCAAACATTTTATTTAGCTAAAAACAAATATTTTTCCTTTGAAAATATATGAATACTGTAAAAAAAAATTCAAACAATAAAGAGAAAGCAAAACCTGTCCAAGGCCTCACCTCCACATAGATAACAATGGCAAACAAAATATAGACAATAACTTTACTCAACTAATTCCTGATAGACATTCAGCTTATTTCAAATTATTCTATTTCCAACTATGTTTATAGTGTACATACATCTCTGTGTGTCTATCCTACTTATCCTTAGAATAACTGAAAAACGCAATTACTGGATCAAAAAAAGCAAACCCTTTAAAATACGTAACATACGTTGTTACACTTCCCTCCGAGTGCCCATGTGGGTGTGCACAGTCACACTGCTCTGCTGGCATGCCTGCTTTCCCAATGCTCAAGATATTACCACTTTCCAGAACTTTATGTTCAATGTTTTAAAATTCCTTCATTCAGAAACTGCTAATTTTTCTGTTGTCTTGGAAACAAAAGGAAATAAACACTAAGGCCAATCAAAAGTTGGTATTTAATGAAAAATAATGGTACATGGTTCAATTAAATTAATACTTTAGGATTGGGAGGTAGTTTGGGCCTAACACATTAATGTATTGCCATACACATTTGTGTATGAAAACAATATTACCAACCTTAACAAAATGAAACATGTTTTGACTTTCTGTCTCAATACCATAAGCATTTTCTCTTCAGAGCAAGCACTCTTTAGTCTTCAAGCCTCCATGTGAATAAATACCTTATTTCAACAGGAAAACATCTCTGAGTCTGTAAACCAGACCAGTGAAAAGTACTACCTAAAATAATCCTTAAATGCTTAATTATTAATGCTACTAACATATGTCCCTGTTAAACATATTTAACAATTATATTTATAAATTCACAAATAAGTAAATGTATTTGTAATCATGAGCAAAAAAGCATTTCAGAAACATGATTTTTGTAGCTAGCTGTCATCCTTCAAGTGGTAAAAAGAATTTTTTTTTCAAAATTCTATGACACAAACAAATGAGTCACATTTTACAACTGCACTCAATGGCTCATCCTGTGACGTGACATTTTCCTGATCTCTCGGGACTGTCTGACTACGCTCTGCAGCATCTCCATCACTGACGGCTTGGCCATTCATGAGACTCTGTCATTGCTGAGAACAACCACACTGCTCAGCTGTACACTTCCGAGTTCGTTTTCTCTGTGCTCTTTGCAAGGCAGTTACTTTTGTTCCTGTTTTTGTGCCAGATTAACAATTCACCTGCACTATCATTCTTCTGGTTTGCTACTTATAAAAAGCAGTGGGCTGGAAAACCTGATGAAAACACCATGAAGAGCTGGTTAGGCGACGAGTGAAGCGGTAGGAAATAAAAGTAAATGGTTGCAGAGCAGAGGTTTTATGGGCAGCTGTTTTAGGGAAATGTCGATTACACTTGCACAGTGTCCCAGGTTTTACTGGACTGAAGCCAAGTCCGGCCTCTGACTCAGCTGCGCTACACGGCACTTGCCTGCCTGCGCTTGCTCAGAAGGATCAATCACGGAAAAGTGTGGGTTCGTGAGTGGTAGCTTTTCCTACTTTACCATCATTAAAGGGCCTGGAGTGGTCAGTCCTGTAAAAGTTACGGTACAGAATTGTTTGTTCAGGGAATTTGACTTCAGCTTAGTGTTGGCTCATAATGTCAATTACTTCCAACCAACATCTAAAATGAAAAACAGAACTCAAACAACACAATAAGAACTAGAGGAATCAGACAGTCAAAGGATTTCACATCATTATCCTGATGATTACCTGTAATGAGCTACTCCCATCATTGTAAATAAATACCTTTCCTAGTTCTCACCTTTAACATTATATATGGTGAGATACATAAGTCACATATAATCCTCAAAAGCTTTTTAAGAAAGAAATTCTGACCAAAATTTCTGAACCACTGACTTTTTCCCTCTGAAAAATAACAGATTCTTTTTTTTTTTGACAGATGACTCTAAATGTTTCCCATACCATTCTGCAAACGGATGCTCTATAGACTACTGACTGCTTTGTGAGACAGTTAAAACCCCAAGCCCCAAAGTTAAACATCATAAACAAATTACCTTTCTGCCTGCAGAATTAAGCTAACAGTTCCTTCTTTGAGATCAAATATAAGTGGTGTATTCCAGTTCTTCGTACTAAATGACAAGGAAAATGGATATTAACATTTAAAATACAAAAACTTTTGAAATGATTTCAGTTTCACAATACTTACAGATATATTACTCTTACAGCACTTGGCTTCCTGTTCTAAAGCAATCACTACATGTTCGTATTTATGGCTACGAAGCAGAAACTGTGGGTCTCCAACAATCAGCATGAGGAGGACATTCAACACATACTTCCTGTACATATTACAGTATGTAAACTAGGACCGGAGGGCCCAGCCTGTTCCTCACGGCCTGAGATCCGCCTGATGTTTCTCAATGGACAGACGCTGGCAGCACGGCTGGACACAGCTGCATCAGTGAGACACATGGCTTTGCTACCTCCTATCCATACATACTGAACAGCTTAACTCTCTAAGCATTAGTTCCCTTACTTGCAAAGGGCAATGATGACTTACATAAAGTATGTGGCAAACTGTGTTAGATCATAGGTACTAACAAAAAAAAACTACAATAACAGTAACTTGATGAGCATAATGAATGTACTTTATAGGCCTCCTGATGTTACTGCTGAGTTGAAACAAAAACACCTTATGAAGTATTTTATAATTACATATTATTTTCCATAAATATGTACTATTGATATAGCATAAGATGTTAGGTAAATGAGGACCCAGTGCTATAGCCTAGTGGCCAAAGACCTTGTCTTGCACATGCCAGGATCCCATATGGGCACTGGTTCTAATCCCAGCAGCCCCACTTCCCATCAGGTCCCTGTTTGCAGCCTGGGTAAGCAGTTGAGAATGGCACAAAGCTTTGGGCTCCTGCACCCATGTGGGAGACCCAGAAGAGGCTCTGGGCTCCCGCCTTCGGATCAGCACAGGTGCAGCTGTTGCAGCTGCCTGGGGAGTGAGTCAACGGACGGAAGATTTTCCTTTGTTACTCCTCCTCTCTGCATATCTGATTTTCCAATTTAAAAAGTTCTTTTAAAAATATGTTATATAAATGTAATATATGCCCATGTTTATTGAGTAATTTAATAAATAAATGAATGTACAGGATAATATGATTCAAAGGTTGGGATAAGAAAAGAGAACATTTATAAATGGAAAGACCCATGATCAGACAACAAAATTGGTTTTATAATGTAAAATAAGTTTCATTACTCCCAAATATTCTGAATTTTGTGAGTAACTTTCATAGAAGCAATAACTCAAAGCAGACTGGCATTTTCTGCATCAGGAGACAGGGAGGAAAGGTGGCAATGAACAGCAAACAGGCACAATTTAGCTTGGCAATGTAGAGCTTGACAACCCTCTCATTTACAAATACACATATCAGGCAACACAATAAAACACTGCTAATAACTGGCATGAGGAGTCATGTTTCAGGTACACCGATATGTTGAAGATGTATGCTATTATACTTTGTGGGAAAAACCTTCTCAGCATCTCATTAATTCCATCATCAGAATGAGCCTTCGTGGGAGGACTGAGAAGTACCGCCCATGTCTGAAGGCCGGACAGGCTGAAGCCGAGGGTGGCAGACCTGAGCGCTTCAGCCCTCGTGTGCACCCTCTCGGGGCCCACATTAACAAGAAGCTGGGACTGAAAATGGAACTGGAACTCGAACACAGGCACCCCTAAAAAGCAGTGACTAGGTGAGGTTTTTTTTTAACATCTCCTTAGAAAATATCTGAGATCTCTGGCAATTGGAATACACGTCACAGATAAACTCAAGTTATAGTGTTGAATAGAACAAGATTATCAATATAATGACTTGAAAAATCAGATGAAAATACAGAATGCTAATTTTCTTTTCTAGAAGTTCTTTTCATTAAAAACCAGCATATTTGTTTTAACTATATCATTTTTTGTTAACCAAAAGAGGTATAAAGTTATAAAGAGCGTGCATTCAGGGTCCAGCATGATGGCTAATATTCTGCAAGTACCAGGATCCCTTGTGGACACAGGTTCTTGTCCCAACTGCTCCACTTCCCATCCAGCTCCCTGCTTGTGGCATGGGAAAACAGTTAAGGACACCCAAAGCCTTAGGACCTGCTCCTGTGTGGGAAACCTGGAGGAAGCTCCTGCTTTTGGCTTGGAATCAGCTCAATCCTGGCCTTTGTGGCCACCTGTAGAATGAATCAGCACATGGAAGATCTTTCTCTCTCTCTCTCCTTTCTCTGCTCTCTTAAATCTGCCTTTCCAATAAAATAAATCTTAAACAAACAAAAAAAAGAATTTGGATTCAAATACCAGCTGTGTTTATAAAAAAAATTTTAAAATTTCAATCTAAGGCAAATTATTTAATCACTCTGCCTCTTTTAGATATTTACTTGCTAAAATGGGAAAAATAATGTCAAATATAGAAGTATACTATTTTTTTAACAAATCATCTCAACACTGCCATTCCCTTGAGAAGCAGAGGGGAAGCAAGGTTAAGGAAAGCAAACTTTTAGTGTAGCACTCATGAGTCGATGTGAGCACAGTCAGTCCCCGACAAGGGCAAACTGCGCTGCTGAGGTCTGGTATTGCAAACAGCAACTTCTTAGCGGAGCAATTGCTCTAGCCACGAAGCTGCTGACCTCACACACTGGAGTGTCTGGTGCAGCTCCTTAGCGCTGGCTCCCAGAGACAGCTTCCTGCCAGTGCAGACCCACGGACGCCAGTCATGTGGGAGACCTGAGTTGAGTTCCTGCTTTCCAGCTTCTGCCTGGCTTGGCCTCAGCCTTTATGAAGTAGCCAATAGGAGCCTTCTCCCTCTCTATCCCCCTCTATTTCTGTCTTTCTGCCTCTGTGATAAATACATTTAAATAAATCATAAAAAGTTGATGGGAAATATTAAGAATAAATTCTTCATCATAGGCAAAATTGTAGATTTTCAAGAAATGCAAGGTGCTTACGAGAACACATAACATTGAAGAGACGTTGAAACAACCAAGTGTGCATAGTTCAAAGATGCTTTTATGACCCTGTCTCGGAATTCCAGTAAGTCCACAGCGTCATTAAGAACGTTACGAACCTAAGCAACAAAAATAAGAATACCAACCAATATTAAAGCACATCAAAAATTTAGTTAGAGAATTCAGAAAAATTCTAGAACAACAACAACAAAAAGAATGCATTCTTGGTTATCTAATTAAATATAAGAAAGAAGAATTCAGTGGAAACCAGACATAAGATGGAATAGATGAGAATGTAAATCAAGAGCAAAACACAGATACAGAACATTTTTTAGAAAGAAACAGCAGAGGACCAATGAAGATGCCCAATCTGCACAGCTCACAGAGTGATGCAGCAGTGAAGTGATCGTGTGAAAATGCTCCAACTCTGAAATACAGACAGAGGATGGAAACACAAGAGGCTGGAAACAGAATCCACAGCTCCTGCTCAACACAGTAAAAAATAGCTCTGTTTAGGGCATACTTTAAGTTCTACAAAACCAAAGGAAACATACTGCTCTAAAAATAAAAAAACCCTCGCGGACGAGATTTGCGCCACGAGAGAGCTCCTTTGTTCCTTCCTCCAAGTGAGGTTACAGCAGAAAGACTATGAACCACAAAGGAGGCCCTCACCGGACAGCAAGGCTGCACATGAACTTCCCAGCCATCCAGAATCGCAGGGGAAACAATTTCCATTGCTTACAAGTTATTCAGATTATGATGTTTCAGCATCCTTAACAAGGATAAGTGCAGTTCTACTATCTATTCCCCACCTCTTATCCTCATTCAAATATTACTGCTGTGATGAGAGGTTCCATAACAACATACAGGGGAACAAAGATATCTGTGGAATGGTCGGCCATCAGCACATGTTGGAGCATGCAGAGATACAGAACAGCATATGTAAAATGACATCTGTGATCTAAAACAGGATATAAAAACATACAAATTTTCTTACACTAAAAACAAATGTTTCTTTCTTAATCCCTCACCCATCCTAATCTTACCTTAAACAAGGAGTTAAGAACAAATGAGTTATGAGCCATGACAACAGATCTGCCCATAAGGTTAGCACTGCAGGTGGCATAGTTGAGCCATGTCATCTACCCCGCTCACTCACCTGGGGCAAGCAAACCGTTCACTGTGGTCCCCATGGGGGTCTACCCACACGGCCCCCTCTCCCGTAGGAGAGCCAGCCTGGGGAGTGGCGGCTTGTGGCCTGTGGGGACTGTTCTGTTCTTTAGCCTTGAGTTGGCTGGACAGTTGGGAAGTCAACCAGTCATTTGGTAAAGGCAGCTTGCACTAGTTGCTTAATTGTCAAGAAGTATATGCAAACTCTTAAAGGCCATTATCAAAAATGAACTTACATTAACTCACAAGGAACTTATATTCAAAACAATTATATTCAATTCTATTCAATAGTTATATTCAAAGCTTTGGTGTTATAACAGGAGATACCTTCTCTGACATAGCATTCAGTTTTTTAAAACACACGTATTTTGCTTGTTTGAAAAGCAGAGAAAGACAGGGAAAGACAGACACCTTCCATTCACTGGTTCACTCCCCAGATGGCTGCAAGAGAAGGGAGTAGGCCAGGCTGCACCCAGCAGCCTGAGTCTCCAACCAGGTCTCCCTATGGGGGACCAGGACCAAAGTACTTGGGCCATCTTCCCCGGGCTCATTAGCAGGAAGCTAGATCAGAAGTGAAGCAAGTGGGTCTTGAACTGGAGCTCAACATGAGATGCAGATAGTGGTTTAACCTGCTATGCAGAAAGCTGGTCCTTCGTATTTACTCACAATTTTAAGTAATTTAATATGATTCAATTTTCAACCTAGAGATTAGGAAACAGAATCACCCGCCTACTCTAAGAAGAGTTAGCATGCAGCCTGACAGTGACAAAGTATTCAGTGAGAATTCAGGCAGGCATCTGAGCTTAATATCTAGCCCAGGATAACCATGGATAGTCAGTCATATTGAGGACTCAGACTTGTTAAGAAATGATGAAGGGGGCCTGGCGCGGTGGCCTAGTGGCTAAAGTCCTCGCCTTACATGCACCAGGTTCCCATATGCGCACTGGTTCTAATTTCCCAGGCCCCGCTTCCCATCCAGCTCCCTGCTTGTGGCCTGGGAAAGCAATCGAGGACGGCCCAAAGCCTTGGAACCCTGCACCCGCATGGGAGACCTGGAAGAAGTTCCTGGCTCCTGGCTTCTAATTGGAGCAGCACTGGCTGTTGTGGAGTGAATCATCAAATGGAAGATCTTCCTCTCTGTCTCTCCTTCTCTCTGTATATCTGCCTTTTCAATGAAAATTTAAAAATCTTAAAAAAACAAAAATGATGAAGGATTGTATGCTCTGCGTATCCTGTTCAAGAAGGCAGGGGATGAAAGCCAGACAAAGGAAGGGAATGACTCAATACAATCAGGAAACTTGTATAAAAAAGATTAAGTAACTGGCTTTCTGGAAACAAGCAAACAACAAACAAGCCTGTTCACAGTGTTTACTGATTAGTAATTTAAAGACTTTTACCTTGACCAGTTTTAAAGTGTGGGATTTTGCTAGTCAAGAGGAGATACACAGAGGCTGGCCAGCCTGTGGCAGTAACACTGTATTACACACAGCAGATGTAAATAATCTCAGGTACACAGCTGACAGTAAAATACAATAACAGAGTCTGAAGTAGTGAGTTCTGAGTACCTTTCTTTTACATATAATTTATTTGTGAGTTTATGTAAGTTCATATCCTCAGTCTGTATGAAAACCCCATGTCTCTGCAGAGCTGCTGTGAAGTACAGCCCCCGACAAGGCCTCTTCCCAGACACCTGCAGAGACGGTCCCCAAAGACAGACTGCCGTAGGCGAGCTGACCAAATGCCCAACAGATACGACTAGGAGAGTTCTCAGGGCATTCCCAACCAGCTAGATTTGAGTTGACTCATGAATTTCTTCTTCTCAAAATTATTTTCATTGCACCCACCATGTTCTCCTCTCATCCGTGTAAATTAAGAAGATGGCAAGGGAAAGGAGGGAAGAATTCAAATATACACTTAAGGGTCAAGTTCGTGTTGTGGTACAACAGGTAAAGCCACCACCCTCGATGCTGGCATTCCATGTGGGTACTGGTTCACGTCCCGGCTACTCCAGCTCTCCTTGGCTCCCTGCTCAGGGCCTGGGAAAGCAGCAGAGGATGACCCAAGCGTTTGAGTCTCTGCAACTCATGGGGAAGAGCAAGATGAAGTCCCTGGCTCAGTCTGACCCCTCCTTGCCATGGTGGCCACTGGGGGAGGAAATCAGCAAACAGTTCATCTCTCCATTCTCTCTGCAACTTTCTTTCAAATAAATAAGAAAATCTTTTTTAAAATGCACACTTATTTATGTCATTCCAGGCCAGGGTTAAATGTAACAACTGGATAAGTCTAAGTTATCTTCTTTTAAATAGACAAAGTAGAAAAAAAATAATCTTTCTAGATAGTTTCAACCTGAGGAGGCAAGAAGTCATTTTAGCAATATTATATTAGCTGGTTCTTATGCACTATATAATAACTATTTTCTCGAATCAGCTGATCAGAATTCACAGTTCATTCTTTTTCATAGATAAGACAATGAAACATTTTAGTTCTCAAGTTAATTAACAGAAATATGTATTTACACCATCATCTAAATCCAACTATTAATGAGAAGGGCATGTCAAACCACACCATGCAGACACCATCAGTGAAGTACAGATTTACAACTGCTATTGGCTAAGCAAGTTGGTTTCTTCACCAAGCAAACTACAGCGGAGGGAAACAGAGAGAAGAGAGAACTGACAGTCAAATGTGGATTTAAAAGACACATTAAGGGAAGTGTTCAGCCCCCTTCCCTCCTTCTTTCCTCCCTCCCTCCCTCTTTCCTCCCTCCCTCCCTTCCTCTGTTTTCTATCTTTCCCTCTCTTTAGGTCTGTCTCTCTGATCTCTCAAATATAAAAATAAGGCATATTAATCAACTGCACTGTGCAAACCATTTTGGACCCTTATACAAACAAATTTAACATTTGATAATGTTAAGGATTTACCATCATTCTTAAGGTAAGATAACAGTATTGCAGGTATGTTACAACAAAGAGATTTATCTTTTAGCTTTATATACTGACATTGTTAAATATGTCCAGACTTGCTTCAAAATAATTTGGCAGAGGACTGTAGAGATGGACATGGATAGAACAGGCTTAATGATGGGCTGATGGTAATTTGAGTTGGATGATATGAACATGGAGTTTCATGATACTACTACCTACTTGTCTGTTTTAAATTCCCCAATTAAAAAGTTTTAAATTTTTTAAATGAGTAAATAAAGCAGTAAAAATTGATAATGTGCCTAATGACTATATTATCCAAATTAAAAATGCTGGCTATTTGAATTAACAGAATATTTTATTAGCTCCGCCTTAGAAATAACATGATATACACTTAGAAATGCTTAAGTAATTCTAGCAATATGATTACTGAGGATCAGGGGAGCTGAAACAGTAAAGTGGAAGAGAAAGCTGTACTCCTCCCTTTGGCAGAGGACTTATCGGCACAAGGTCCGCGGCCTCCTCCTCAGCCTCACTTCAACTCATTTTAAATGCATTTGCTGAGTGCTTGCTACATGAAAGGCACTAAGTTGGGGGAGGTGGGAGGCGTGCCTTTTAGAAGGAACAAAGGTGACATACATACAGAACCTGTGCCCTTGGAAAGCTCATAATTGATATTATCTCACCTGTAAAATATTAACATTTCCTTTAAACAAAAAAAAGATTTTTATTTGAAAGTCAGAGCAATAGAGAGTGAAAGGGAGAGACAGAGTAGGAAAGAAATCTTTCATCCACTGGTCATTCCCCGGATGGCTGCTTCGGCTGGGGTGAGCCAGGCCAAAGTGTGGGGCCAGGCACTTCTTGGGGATCGCCCACGTGGGTATCCTTCATTCCTTTCCCCAGGCTATTAGGAAGGAGGTGGACCAGAATGAAACAGCCAAAACGGCCACAGTCTAAGGACTTTATCTGCTATAACACAACGCTGGCCACTTCTCCCCTTTTCTTAATGCTAGGTCCCAAACTTCCAACATTAATTTACAAAGTATTTCACATCAAAATTACTTGTTTTCATTGTGAGACGGGGTACAGCATTTACAACTCCAAAAAAATGAGATGCTGCATACTTAAATGTTTTAGGCTTGGTTCAGCCACGGGGCTTGGGTGGAGGGAGCCCTCAGCTGTGTGGCGGCTGCTGGAGGTGCCTGAGCCAGGTCAGACCCAATGCTTGCCATTCTGGCCATGACCACTGCTGCCACGCAGTGAGCGAGACTTGGGCTTGCCCAGGCCTGAGAGTTTTCTCCCCTCATGGTAAGTACGCCGTGAGGGGATCTTGGGAACTGGATTAGGTCCTTGGCTCCACCATGCTGCCACCACCTTGCAGTGGGAGGAGCCTAGAGGGTGTCATCCACAGGCTTGGGTGGAGGGAGCCCTCAGCAGTGTGGCAGCTGCTAAAAGTACCTGAGCCAGGCTGGACTCAATGCTTGGGACTCTGGCCATGGGGTGAGTGAGTCCTGGGCTTTGGATGGCCTGTGCACTAAGTGGTGCCAGGCTCCACCTGCTGGCTGCCATAGCTCTAGGGTTTTTGGAGTATGTAATTGCTGCCTAGGGACATCCATGGATAAGGCCACTGTGCGTGTAGGTGAGGGATGACTCCTGTGTGACTCCCAGGGTCACTGAACTTGCAGGCAAGGGTGGGGACTGAGACCTGGTGGTTTGGAGAAGAGAGTCCATAAGAGCTGTTCGGGTCAGCCTGATTCACCAGCCCACATGGGAGTCCTGAGATGGGCTGTTAGCACAGAACATCGCTGACTGCCACACACCAGATCACACAAAGCTAAACCTATAATGGGTAGGGAAACTCACACTTCTTACCACTTTTGTATTTTAACCTTCTTAGGCAACCCTTGAAATAATTTTAATCAGATTAAATAATTCATCTAATTATAACTAAGCAAAACTCTTAAGCTAACAATAAGTTAATAAGGTTAGGCCTGCTTCAAGATCAGCTCTAAGAAACAAAGCCACCTTGTCCCTGTTTGTCACTGCCTTCTCCTTCCTTCCTTTTAAAATAAACTGACATATCCCCCAAATGCTTCATATTTCATTCTCTGTCCTAAATCCGAATCTGCAGTAGCTGTAGGTATTTAAGTTTTATATAATTGAAAAGTTCTTAAGTCTTAAGAAAAACTGAATAAATATTAAAATAAAAACTAAAGCATTGTAAGATGGCCGAATTGTTATAAGCGTGATTAAATGTGCTTAACGAAGGCACTGACACTTCCCTATTCTGCACGGGGCGACCGTGCAAAGCAGCAGGTTTAAACAGCATCAGGACACACTCATACCTGCATGGTCCTTCTTTTAGTTAATGTCACTTGAAAGTTTTTCCATTCCCAGCGCTGCTCCACCACATGCGCAAACACCACATGTCCGTTTCCACAGGCTCCAGCGATCTGAGTGCCATCAACTGACCACGCAATATTGAATATGCTGCCAGTGTTGGGTTTCTCTAAAGCGTACGACCACTGGGGAGAGAACAAAAGGGGAAAAATGGTTACTGAAAAAGTCTGTAAGAAGTTTTAGATTGGGCACTTGCTAACATATTTAGATAATTTTTCAAAAGAATGCATCTTTATGCTAAAATTATTGAAGGGGACGGCTTCTTAACCTATTGATTAAGGCATCTACTGCAACACCTGCACCTACATCAGTTTTACTCCTAATTCCAGCTTCCTGCTAATGCGAGCAAACAGTGAGAACACAACAATCTTGTTAACAAATGGCATTATGTGCATTTTCATTACAAGCATTTGCTAGATGGATGATTAATTTATTGTCAAAACAAAAACTCATATTCTCTTTCCATTCACTGAACTTCATAATCTACAGTCTAACTCTCGCTTTCTTCTTGTTCTTGGCTGAGTGTTTTTGCTTTTTCACTTTTTTTTTTGTAGAAATGTTTATCAACAATTGACAAAAAGAAGAAACACCACACAGATTGGAAGAATATAGTTGCAAAATATTTATCTGATTAATAATTAGAATATATCAGTCGCTGCTTCCCCCGCCCGCAAAAAAAACCCACCTCAAAAAAGAAAAACACCAGTCCAGTTAAGATATTTGTAAAGATGTTAACAGGTCTCAAAAGAAAACAAGTGAGCAATAAATCTATGAAAAATGCTCAACGTCAGTTTCCATTAAGGCAATGTAAAACTAAAATAAGGGGTCCAGCATGATAGCCTAGTGGTTAAATCCTCACCTTCCATGTGCTGGGATCACATGTGAATACCGTTTCCTGTCCTGGATGCTCCTATTCCCATCCACCTCCCTGTGTGTACCCTGGGAAAGCAACTGAAGACAGCCCAAGGCCTTCGGACCCTGTGTCCACATGGTCGACCCGGAGGAGGCTCCTGACTCCTGGCTTCAGATCAGCTCAGCGCCAGCCATTGTGCCCACTTGGGACGTGAACCAAAGGAGAGAAGATCTTTCTCTGTCTCTCCTTCTCTCTGTAAATCTGACTTTCCAATAAAAATAATCTTTAAATAAATAAAAATATGAAACAAAATAAGACATCACCTCATCCTTATCAGAATAACTGTTACTTAAAAGATAGCAACAAATGCTAGCATCTGTGTGTGGAGGGAATACAAATTAGTGTGGCCCCTGTGGACAACAGTATGGAGATTTTTAAAAAAATAAAAATAGACTTGCCATATGATCCATTAGTCCCACTACTGGGTAAATGCCAAAAAGTCTCATTGTAGCAAAAGATATCTGCTCCACCATGTTTATAGCAGCATTTTCACAACAAAAGATGGACTGAAAATTGATCTGCCATATGACCCAGCTATCCCACTTTGAGGAATATATCCAAAGGAAATGAAATCTGCACATGCGAAAGTGACCTGTAATCCTATATTTACAGCTACACAATCCACACTAGGAAAGACATGGAAATAACCCAAATGCCCCAAACGGAGGAGTGGATGAAGAAGCTGTGGCATCTACTCTATGAAATACCACTCAGCCATTAAAAAGAATGAAATTCTACCATTTGCAACTAAAAGGTCCCAAAAGCAAAATAAACCAATCCCCAAAAGACAAATATTATGTTTCTTTCTGATATAAAATAATATTCATGCAAAGTAGAAGCTCAGCAGATACACAGGTAAATATGTACACGTGTTGGTACATCTCGAGGAGCTGTACAACGGAGACCAGCTTACTGAGAAGGGAAGACACAGGCTGACACGCATCCTTATTCCAGAACAAAGATGGAGGCTGGACTTTCTAGCACCGTGTATGCCTACAGTGTCAATACACGTAACAGTTCTAATTCCAGCAGCCTCACTTCCCATCCAGCTCCCTGCTTGTGGCCTGGGCAAGCAGTTGAGGGTGGCTTAAATCCTTGGGTCCCTGTACCCACATGGGAGACCCAGAAGAGCCTCCTGGCTCCTGGCTTCAGATTAGTGCAGCTCTAGCTATTTTGGCTACTTAAGTAGTGAATCACTGGACGGAAGATCATCTTCTCTTGTCTCTCTCTACTTTCCTCCTCTCTCTATATCTCATTTTCCAATTAAAAACATTAATAAATCTTGAAAAAAAATTGCCTCAGTATTATCATTCCCCTCCAATCTAATTTTCCCTTGCTTTCATAGGATATGAATATTTTGAAACTATAAAATATTAAGATAAAATCGGTATGTCATTATATATAGTGATATTTTAAGAGATATAAAATATCTTTATAATAATCATAGCCAGAAAAACGAAAATACTTAACATTTTAAATTTTACTGTGGATTATTTTTTTTTACTTTTGCTTTCATTATTTTTGTTGTTTTGAGTTTCCCTTACATTTATGCGAAATACAAGCTTATTCTGCATTTCTAACTAGATTATTTAATGTTACTTATTATTTTGTCTTCATAACACTGGTGAGATTTTAAATTATTTGCCTAATCTTTTTTTTAAAAAAACATTTATGTTATTTTTATTGGAAAGGCCAGATATACAGAGAGGAGCGACAGAGAGGAAGATCTTCCGTCCGATGATTCACTCCCCAAGTGACTGCAATGGTCGATGCTATGCCGATCCAAAGCCAGGAGCCTCTTTCGGGTCTCCCACGTGGGTGCAGGGTCCCAAAGCTTTGGGCCATCCTCGACTGCTTTCCCAGGCCACAGGCAGGGAGCTGGATGGGAAGCAGGGCTACCAGGATTAGAACCGGCACCCATATGGGATCCCAGGCGTGCAAGGCGAGGACTTTAACCACTGTGCCACTGCACCGGGCCTGCCTAATCTTTTTTTAAGACTTATTTATTTTTATTGCAAAGTCAGATTTACATAGAGAAAGAGTCAGAAAGATCTTCTGCCTGCTGGCTCACTCCCCAAGTGGCTTCAACAGCCAAAGCTGAGCTGATCTGAAGCCAGGAGCCAGGAACTTCTTCCAGGTCTCCAATGCAGGTGCAGGGTCTCAAGGCTTTGGGCCATCCTCAACTGCTCTCCCAGGCCAAAAGTGCAAGTAGGGACCTGTAAAGGAAATGGAGCACCCAGGATACAAACCAGTGCCCATAGGGAATATGGTTCATGCAAGGCAAGGACTTAAGCCATGAGGAGACTGCGCTGGGCCCTGTCTCCTTAATCTCAAACAAATATTTTTGGCTTGGCTTGGTTTGGTACAAATAATTTCAAAAAAAGAACAAGATGAATATAAGAAAAAAAAGCAGTAATTATAAAAGAAATTTGTAGAACACAAAACTGGTCTGTAGTCACAGCATGACCTACAGCTAAAACACAAGTGCCATTCTGAGCTGCCTACCAAGGAGCAGTGTCGCACTGACAACAAAGTCCAATCACTGGTTGTTTGCTTCTGAAAGGTTCAGCAATATACATACATATGTACTAAGGCGGAGAAACCCTGAAACAATGTGAGATTGTAAGTTTGGTTTTGTCTCAGAACAAACATTACACACACAGCCAGGATCCATGGATTCTAGGACTACCAAAAATTTTTCAACTAGAATCATCTTCCTGGGTCATAAGTGGAGTGCTAGGCCTTTCCTCTCTCTCCCTCATCCAAATCCTGTTTTCTGGTAGACAAGTCACTTAGAAACTGGCATGATAAAAACCAAGTTTAATGTGTTACTTACATGACAGAAATTTTTTAATTTTATTTTTAATACTGTTCATATAACTAAGAGGGTTGCCTGTCCACGCGTACCTCCAGTTAGGGAGGGGAGGGTCAAGGTACGGAGGAAGGTGGGCGGGACAAATTACATGATAATATTTTATGAAATGGTTCTTATTAATACTAATGGGAGAAATTTTCTTATCCATAACTAGAGTGAAATCATTGCCTAGGACGGCCTCGCCCCATAACTCACTGCCGAGACTGTCCTTCAACTGCAGCCATAAAGATACAACTTCCACTAGTGTTTCATTAGTGCTACCACAAATGACTGCTGCATAAAACAAGACAACTTCACGATTCTACATCTCTAGACTCAGCGGCCATAAACCCAGCATAAGCTTCCCTAAGTTAAAATCAGATATTACCAGCACCGTGTTCCTTTCCCGGAAAGGGTCTGCTTCCTTAACCATTCAAGTTGTTGCCAGAATCTGTTTCCTTGTAGCTGTAGAACTGATGCCCACTGCTGTTTTTACTTTTTAAGATTCAGATTCAGATATGAGCATAAACATAAGAAAAAGGATTCTTACCACTTCTAAAAGGCAGTTTAAGGTTTGTGATTTTAGCTTCCAAAGACTTACAATGAAAAAAAAAACTAAACTCAGTAAGATTTTGGCTATGTTGTTATCAAAGTAGAAAGAACTTGGTCTTGATCATGCAGGACTAGATTCACAAGGATTCCAACAGAAAGCATTTTAAATATCAAACCAGATATATTTTAAAAAGAAGTAACAATCAGGGGGCAGTAGGGTGGTATGGCACATTAGTCCTCAGTCTGTGGTGCCAGAACACCGCATGGACACCAGTTCAAGCCCTGGCTGCCCCAGTTCCAATCCAGCTCCCTGCTAACGGACTGGACAATCAGCAAAGCACAGCCCACGACCTAGAGCCCTTACGCCCATGGGGGAGACACAGCAGAAGCTCCTGTAACCAAGCTTGGATCGGCTCAGCTCCAGCAGTTGCACTCTTTAACTCTGACTTTCAAGCAAAATAAACAAATCTTTAAAAGAAAGCATCAAAATAGGCTTATGACATCAAATAAAACATGTATTTAATATCCTATCATACAAATTGTAAAAAAGAAAACCTGAATATTGAGAAAAATTGTTGCTCTCTTCATCAGTATGTCCTAACACTGAGAAAAATGAAATCATAGGTAAGATACAGGTGCCTATTTCAGAGGAAACATGGACATCTTAGAATAGCGGAGGAAAAGTCCCTTAGGGAGAGATTTTGAATTGTCAAATCAATAGTTCCTCACAGATGATAAAGCAAATAATTAGATGTGGCCTAATGGTTAACAACAACAACAAAAAATCTACAGAACTCTGTAAAGGG